TTCTTTTGACACTGCAGGTGACGAATCGGTATTCGTATTTACCGATGGTTAAAACATTTTTACCATTCGTTGCGTATCGTAATATTGGATATGTATGGAAAAGTTTTAGCCAGACGAATCGTTTTATCTGAAGAGAAGAGAAAACTTGACCTCTTTCACCTTACAAAGAAATCCATTTGAATACTATTCAGTATTGTATTGAGCATTGGAATTTGCAATAGACAATTCCAGCTATCGACTAATTTTTGGCCTAGACAAGAAAGACGAAATGTATAATTATAGCTCAAAAGAGCATCCTAAAATTAGTAAATCTGCAAAGTTTGGTTGCGAAATGTTGTAAAATACGGAGAATATAGCCCTGTGAAATTAGCAAATTTTTGAGTATTTTAGTATTACGCGTGGTGAAAATAATCACTTTTCCGCTCAAAAATGGTTATTTTTCCGCGCGTAATACTAAAATACTCAAAATTTGCTAATTTCACAGGGCTATATTAGTCCGTATTTTACAACATTTCGCAACCAAACTTTGCAATTATACTAATTTTAGATCATGCCCTTTGAGCTATATAATTATAATGAATGATGCTGGAATTGTCTATTGCACTTGACAAATTTTCTGGCATAAGAACTGCCTGGAATGACAATCTGTTTCCCGTTGCCGTTGGACGCTCAGTTGATTGCAATTGGAAAATTTACATATTCACAAACATACGCATTTTAATTGGGCATTTTGATAGACACAAAATATTTGATATTCTGCAAATTGTATTTAGAACATTTTAATTCATGAAAATGTGGAGTATATCAGTTTAGTTGAGAATTTTATTTATGAGGATACTGCCGTCAATTTTTATGTTTCTATTAACAGTTTACAATGAAAAATAATGGCAGTAAATCAACAGTCAAACGAACAATAATAATAAATTGAAAGATTGCAGTCTGCTAATTAAATTCATGGGAAATGTATACTTGGTATTGTTATGCAAAATAAACCTTCGTTGACATGCCCATGTCATGGGAATTTCAATACGGAGTGAATAATAACCCAATTATTTCGTGTTTTACCATGCCAGATATTGACATTATGAGGCAATCACGGAGAAGTGACTGATAATCCAACTGCATACTGGTAGATTCGACCATTATATTAAAATACGAAACTTGAAATAATACCACCAATGCAGCGGGCTGATATATTATAAATTCTGTTTACAATGTGTTTGTGATAAGTCACTAGGTTGCGGAGATGCCCTAGTGATTCACTGGAAATTTCTAGATTACAAGTGAACAGGGGACTTCTTTTCCTGACATAACTCCAATATAGGACATACATTTTTCGGTAAGTATTCAATATCAGTTAAATATTAACTTTCCTTATTCGATTGTCAAATACTTGCCAACTTCATAGCCGATATAGGTGAAGTGATCATTGAAATGCTTATTGTACGCCTACGCACGTTTGCTTAAAAGTTATATCAGTTTAGATGTTATAGTTACAAAGCCAATATACGAATGTTCAATTTCTCTAATTCTGTAGAATTATCAACATCTGACTAAATTATGTCAGTACTAGAAACAGCAAAGTTGTTTATGCCCGGGAATACTTGATGCTATGTTAATTTAATTACGTTTGTGCTTTATCAGGGCGATATAGAATGATGTACAAACGAGATTTTGTTGGCATCTCACTCGTTTTGTGATAATAGTTGAAATGGTATCCATCCACAATAGTCAACACCCTTCAACTATTATTCAGACGAATGAGATGTCAACAAATTAATCTTGATATTTACCCATATTGAACCTAACATGGCAGTACCCTAGTATACATATACATGAACTAATTGTGGCAAGAGCTCGACAACTGGCCTCTCAGGTAACTCAGTTGGTTAGAGCGCTGCACCGGAATCGCCGGGTCGCAGGTTCGATTCCTGAAGTTGCATTTTTCGCAGCTGTTCCTGGTTAGGTTAATAAATGTATTTAGTATAATTACATAGGTGATTATTGAAAATTCTCCACGCTGATTGGTTACCGTTGAGGTGATTATTACGCGATAATCACCTAAGCGATTTTCAAAATGGCGGCCGAAGCCGTTTTGTCAATTAAAAGACGAAGAAATGTGCATTTTTTTATTTTTTTCCAAATAATCACCTATGAAATTATACTAAAACAATTATTCACCTCAGGCTCGGTGATTATCGTGAATAAAAACCTCGACTTCGTCTCGGTTTTTATTCACAGATAATCACCTCGCCTTCGGTGAATAATTGTTAAATAAATTTCCACTCGATAATTTCCATCTACAATATACCCTTCAACTGATATAAAAACGATATGTCTCTGACATAGTTTTTTTTGTCACTGCAGATATCCTCTTTGTCACTGTATCGTTTTTGTTGTATGTATTGTTGTATGTATGTATTGCGTTGGTACAGTGATTAATTTTTTAACAAATTTTGACCCCGATAAAGGAACAAGCATGTAATATACAGGTTATCATAATCGGAATGGGGCGACATCAGCCCTATCGATTTCAGGACGATATCGTATGTTCCTCGTTCGTTGCGCTCACTCGTGACATGATATCGTCCCTCGACGACTGATATCGCTTCGCCCCTCATATGATAACCTACAATAAATATTAAGTATTTGCTTGTTGATAAAATTGTTATTTTTGTTCTAGTTGATTGTTCACGAAATTGGCAACTATACGTTTCAATCGTCTGAAATAATTTTGTACTCTATATCAAAATACGCAGTAACCAGTCAGGTGAAATTGACAGTTGCAGGTCAATGGAGGAAATCTATTGGCAGTTGCGTAATCAGAGGTGATCGAATCAGTCATCCAGGCCTGTGTTAGATGTCGAATTTCCGTCGAATCAATTCATTGGGTTTAATTTTTTCTGATTTTTTTCAAAGAAATGAGCGTTTTAAAATTCAAAAGGCAAAAGGTCTCTTAATTTAAAGCTCCTATAGCCCTTATCATATTTTATAAAATTCAATCGAATTATATCCAGAAGCAATAAATTCAACGAATTAATAAATTCAACCGAAATTTGACATCCAAAATACGTCTCATGCAGAATTCTTTTTTAGTACTAGTGGTTTCCATAAATATTAAATATTAGTATTTTTGCACAAGTGAACATAACAAATCCTACAAGGTGATTGATCAAATTTGACGTATTACTGATCTGTTATATTAATTCATGCACCTACAGGTGAATATAACAAAATCGAAATTTTCAGTCAAAATGGCGGCTAGCCGTTTTGTTGAAGTTAGTGATAAAGAAATGCGCGAAATTAAAATGAATTCAGACCAGAAAAACACAAAAAAACTTGTGCAAAACACTAAAACAATTATTCGCCTCAGGCTCGGTGATTATCGTGGATTAGTATTTTTGCACAAGTGAACATAACAAATCCTACAAGGTGATTGGTCAAATTTGACGTATTCAACTATATACAGGGGCCGGTTGTTCAAAAGCTGGTTAACTTTAACCCGGGGTTAGCACTAACCCTGGGTTAAAATCCTTAACCTAGGGTTAGTTAACCCTGAGTTAAAACTGCGTTGTTCAAAGCTGGGCTTTGTTCAAAGTTCGGCTTTTGAACAACCGGCCCCAGGTGAATATAACAAAATCGAGCCAAAATGGGAAAATGTGTGCTGAACAGTATTTTTTGGTATATTAGTGCAGTATATTAATTAGAGAACATATAAAGATGGATTATTAGCCTACACATGATTTGCAAAGTAAAATATCTTATTCCATAATATATTATATAAAATAGTAAAATATAGTATATTAAATATCAGAGATTAAATATATAATATAATATATTATTTAGGAACCAGAATATATTACAGAATATGAAACCAATTTAGTATAAATATTTATAAACATTGTGTTTTCAAAACTGTACTGCAGGCTCGTAGCCCACCTGTGTTACACTTCATGTAACACATAGTATATTGCCAATATTGGCCTGGTTATAAACATGGTTGCCATTTCATATTTTTCTACAAACTTTTCTTGATCGACTTCATTCAGTTCATTGTTTCTTCGGTTTATACTGAAGAAGTTATGCCACCAAAAAGAGCTAGAGTTTCAGAAGAATGCGCACTTGCAAATATTATGCGATTTATGGAATATAAATATGACAACAATGACAGTGTCACAGTGATGATGGTGAAATTACTCAATCAGTGATGTTGAAAATGATTTGGATTGTTTATATGGGGAGACAGGTCAGTTTCAGTTGTATGTCTTTTCATATGGTACAGAAATGCCAGCTTGTAAAGGAAAATGGTGGTGTTTATGGACATCTGAGGTATGCCATAACATAAAAAGAATGTCTTTCGAATGTAAAAGAACAAAAAAATATCACATCCAAAATGGTTTTTTTTTATCCCTTTACATAAAATAACCAAAATGGGTAAAATAATAGCAATATTCGCCATTTTTTGACAGGTGGCCGTATTCAATGGGGCCAAAAACAGCATTTTGGATTTGAATTTTACTTTTTTGTTATTTTTAAGTTAAAGAAAGGTAAAACTTATTAAAAATAAAACTTATAGGATAATGGCAATTACTCAACAGAATTTTTTGAATAAACCCTGGTAAGCTTATCGTTTTATGATGGGGTATGAAACATTGAGACCGTTATCTTTGTTATATTTTGCAAATTTGTAAAGCGCATTAGATCATATATCAATGTTATATTGCGCTATATAAATATTAAAATTATTATTATTATTATCTTGATGGGGTACCAAATATTATCCGACAAGTTTATGGGGGTATGAAATATTTTTCACAAAATTAAAAATATCCTCCGCCACGGGGTAGCACTTACTTTATGACCGCTCCCTAAACTAATATAAAATGTATCCCCCCTCCCTAATCAATCTAACTCAAGAGAGTTAGCACTACACATTACAATTACAATTAAAACGGTATTAACACGAACATAAATTAGGAGTGTTACTGTGAATTCATTTAGGACAAATCACCTTATAACTTCTAATATTGTCCTGTTCAAATAGTACACGTACTACACGAAGTCTATTGAAGAAGAAGTTCTTTAGTCTACATTTGAACGATGGTAAAGAAGTGCAAGACTTAGATTAAGGTGGACAAGACGATCCCTATAACTATAGTGATCCGTTTTGGATAACTTACAAATAAACTTTGTAGCTCTACGCTGAACAGATTCAACCAGTAATATATTTCTGATTACTGATTGGGGAGCCCAGATCTGACTGCAGTAGCCGAGGTGCGATCTTACTAAAGCTAAGTAAATAACTTTAAGCGCATTGCTTGAAATTTCTTTAGAGCAATTGCGTTTCAGAAAGCCGAGCATTCTGTTTGCTTTAGCTGATATAGAGTCAATGTGACTATTCCAAAGAAGATTACCAGTCACGATCACGCCAAGGTCTTTTTGATAGTCTACACATTTGAGTTCTGCATTATGGTTAATTCTGTATAGACGCGGCTAAAGCTGATACGCTTGCGAGAAATGCGGAGTTTTCGCATTTTCGTGGCTGAAACTATAGTTCGTTTAGTTTCGCTCAGTCACTTAACGCATTCATATCTTCCTGAAGGCAGCACAGTCCGCTTCCGAAGTAATACATTTGTAAAATTTCGAGTCGTCAGCAAACATTGCTATATGCGAATTTTTTACCTCCTCTGGCATGTCGTTCACACGTAGATAAAAAATAAAACGGGTCCCAGTATGGATCCTTGTGGAACACCAGATTTAACTTCTATCCACGATGATTGGGTACCATTGATGACGACACGTTGTTTTCTCCTGGTGAGATAGTTTTTGAACCATAAAAGTAGGGGGCCACTGACTCCAAGATGTTGTAACTTCCAGAGAAGTCGAGCGTGGCACACTGAATCGAGCGCTTTCGTAAAGTCAAGGTAAACGATATCACTATCTAATCCCTTGTCCAAATTTAAACCAATGGTATGAAAGATCTCAACAAGTTGATTTGCACATGACAAGCCCTGTTGAAAACCATACTGTACAGGATGCAGGATTTCAGAGACATGAGGTACAAGTTTAAGGGCAATACATTTTTCTTGTATTTTAGAGACTATGGGTAAAAGGGAAATCTGTCTAAAATTTTCCACTTCGTCTCGAGCACAATTCTTGTGAACGGGCGAAATATACGCTTGCTTCCATTCTGAAAGGCAGAGGCCTGTTCTTAGGGAAGCATTTATGAAAACAGACAAAGAGGGTGATAATGATTCCGCACACATTTTTAAGATAATAGCTGGTAATTTATCCGGTCCAGTAGCTTTCGAGACATCCAAATTAAACAGAAGAGGGAACACATCTTCGGGCGTAACTTGAATGAGTTCTAACAATTCATTAATATTGGAATTCACAGGACATAGGTCAGGTGGTGAGCAGCAAGTATGGTCTTTGTAAATGGACTTGAAGTAATCATTAAAGGCTTCAGCACGCTCAAGGTCATCACTAATTGAAACTCCTTTGTACTTAATCTTATCAGGAACAGGCTTCGATTTGTTTTTGAAGGAATAATATGACCAGAAACATTTCGGATTTGAAAAGGCCTCATTAGCAATATCACGCATATACGCTTTTCTTTCACAGCGAATCCAGTTTTTAATAGATTGTCTTAGGATGCGAAATCTCTCTTTGAGTCGTTCGTCGGTTGATTTTTTCACACGTCTCCACAGGGTTTTTTCTGTTTGATTGCCTTAACAAGTTCTTTACTTATCCAAGGCGGATTGTTGGATTCGCGCCGTCGAACTTTCGGAATTAGCTTGTCAATACCAGCAAAGACAAATGTGGTCCATTGTTTCCATGCCTCATTTAATTTCTCCTGGGATTCAATTGCGTCGACACCGGTACTAAGAGGCAATAAACTCAGTTCATTATTAAGTCCCTCGAAATCTGCATGTTTGTAGTCATAACAATATTTATATCACATTTGTGTCGGTTTTCTTTGATCGTCCGAGGTTTATAACTAGCTTATGAATAAATTATTAGATTAAACTTGTAGACAAAACACGAGAATTTTTCATTAAAATTTTTTGAAAATGACAAAATATGTTAGAAAACCTCCACAAATGTGATATAAGTTATAGTTATAAACCTCGAAAGTCGGTTTATAACTGATATATTGCCCTCGGACGCTACGCGTCCTCGGGGGCAATATATCAGTTATAAACCTCCTACTCGGTTTATAACGCTAACTTATAGTTTGAGGCCTTAAATTTCAATAACACGTTAATGTCAAAAATAACCGGGTAGTGGTCAGATGGATGGCCAATCTCAGCACACGATGGTCCCGATTCGATAGACGATATAACTCTGGGCAAATTTGTTAAAACAAGGTCGAGAATGTTTCTATTTCTCGTTGGTTGGGCAACAAGCTGGAATAGATATAGGTCCATCATCAAATTTGCAAAGCACTGATCGTCACTTGAGATTGAATTTGTAAAGCCTGGCCGATCAATCCAATTTATATTTGGGTATTTAAAGTCGCCGAGTAAGAAAACATCCCAATATTTTTCCAAATTTAAAGTATCCAACAGAGTTTTGAGATTATGATTAAAGTCTTTATCCCCATTAGGAGGCCGATAGCAGTTAATAAACAAAGCCGTTAAGCTCGAAGAGACGTCAACTCCACTGCAATACATTCTAGTGAGATAGGTGCTGTTATAACTACCCTTGATGATAGATTTGATTTAACCGCGATTAAAGTTCCACCACCCATGTTAAATATTCACCTCGACTTCGTTAAATATTCGATAATTGTTAAATATTCACCTCGACTTCGTCTCGTCGAATATTCGCCGATAATCACCTCGCCTTCGGCGAATAACTGTTAAATAATAATAATAATATAATAATAATAATAATAATATATTATATAATAATAAATATTTATTCACTGCAATTTATTTTGCAGTAATAAATTTACATGGTGTTTCCACAAACAAAACTATTATATGTTTTATGCCGAAACATACAATTAAACAACTTATTTGAAAAAAGTAAATGAAACTTAAATACTTTTAAATACAGAGCTATCAATTTGTAAAATATATAAAGTAGGTATATCGTTCTGAAATAAAATAAATTAGGTATATTATTCCGAAATGAATTAAAAATAAATGAGGAATATTATCCTGAAATGAAATAAATTTAATTCATAATAATTTGCCTTCCTTTTTATCATGAACTTCTGCAAAAGTTAACTAAGAAACGTTTGCACACAATGCACAGGAAAGACTTGAACAACAAAAACAAAGTCTATAATTATTATACAATAAATTAATAATAAGTTAAAAATAATAATCATATACATAAACATTTGAAACAAACATGCCTTATTTTTAAAGTTTTACAATTTGTTATGTGTCAAATGAGAAACGATTTTCCAAGCTTTCTTACATGTCCTTTTTAAATATTTTTGCCTCCTTCACTCCTGGCAAACAGTCATCTTTTGAGATCAGTGAGATGACCACCCATGCACCATGCGCCCGCGATATTTGATGAATCTTAGACTTCGCTCGTGCGTTCCTTTCCCCGGGTGTAAATAGCCGGGCAGAATTATAGTACCCTCGCCCAGGGCTTACGTCCGGAACGGTGCTCCGCGCCATTGGCTAGGGGACAATCCTGTTTCCAAAACATAGAAAGCTCTAGTCTTATTTTTGAGATCACTGCAATCAATTTCTCCCACTTAACGTCCTCTTCACAAATGAAAAACTGGGAACGAACACACCATATCTCCACGCATTCTTTACTGTGATAAGAAAAGTCATTGTTCTAGGAAATAACGTCACGGTATCAGGAAGTTTGCGCGATACTCGCGATCTTTTGAACTTTTTTATATTGATTGTAAGATTGTACGTGACATAAGAGCATGCGTTAAATGCCTCGTACGTTGAAATTGCGTTTTGTTTTCTTCCACTGGGCAAGGAATTTTGTATATTGCGTGAAATAATTGTCAAGCAAGGGTGATCCAGGACAAGACCCGTTGGTGCGAGCGAGAAACTGTGTTGTGATGCTGCATTTTTGATGAAGCGTTTTCGCCATTTGAAGGTTTTCTTGAGGCTTCTACGACAGGTACATATCTTTGGATTAACATTTTTATCCGCGCATTGTTCGTATTCGTTAAAAGAGCTTGCACGGGTAAACTTATCCAGACTTATTGCTTTATCTTGGTTAACGGGAAACGAAACCTTAACGTCAAATACTTCTTTGGTTTTGCGATCAAAAGGTTGAACAAATAGAGTGAAGGCAAGTATTTCCTGTTGGCCTGCAACTTGATGCCGCGCAAGGCCAATTTTGTGGCCTGTGTAACGTTGACACGCACCGTAGCCGTATAAATTTGACTTGATTTCGCCAGAGCGTTTCGACTTCAGCCCTGCTATAAATTGATCTTGTATCATATTGTTAAGAACACCTAAAGCAAATTCTGCTGCCCATTTCAGCACTTGTGATTTACTTGAGATTGATTTGTCCATCTTGTCACACAAACATAACACATCTGAATCTAAATCAAGCTGATCGCAAGTGCGATTGAGAGATATGGGAAGAAACAGACCGCGTAGTTCAGGTGTGTTTGGCTTAAGATAGGCCCGCAAAGCTTCCCCTAGATCTTGAATCCCTATCAAACGTTTCTGATTCGCAACCAAAGCATTCATTACTTCTGGTCCTAGTTTATCGCACACTACATGAGGAATAATCATAAATAAAAGTGGCCGAAAGACTTCGTGTCGTCCTTGCGTTGTATGAGATGAAAATTTGGTAGATTTTGCCCCGTGATCTGATATTAATATAGTGACAGTGTTATGCATATGAGCCGCTTGCCGAAGCAACTTCGATAGGGTGATGTCATCGTTAACGATCCGTCGTCCACTTCTTTCATGTGATGTAATTACGTGCGTGTATGCTAAAAATGGTTTTGCAGCATTGTCATTAAACATCATATATTCTTTTGCATAATTTAGCAAGAAGGAAGAAAAATGTTCGCCTGCGAAGCAAATGTTAGGGAAGTCCCACGCGTTGAAAACATTCGACGTATGCAAATATGCATAAACGGAACAAGTCAAAAACGTCACACCAAAGTCGTCAACACTATCACTGCGTTTTGTTTTTTCTAGTAAATCAACAAACTCCTTCCATATTTTATCTCTTTCTTTTTGGTCTTTTACATGGCCAGTTCTATAACTTAGATCAAGAAGAGTTCCCCAATTATCATACCAGCAATTGTCCTCTTGAAATAATGTGCTGTAACCAAACTCCTTTAAAAGTGAGAAAAAATCTTCGATGCCAATAATATCACGTTCATTAGGACGCAAATATTTTGTGCCCGAAAATAACCGCTGTAGATTCTTTTTGGTCGTTGTGTCGTAACTCTGAACCTTTTCGAATTCTAACACAGTTGCTGGAATAGATTTTTTATAAATGATGTTTCTCATGGTCGACGCAGTCTGCGAAAGAGTTCTGAAAAAATGGCGTCTTGATACAGAATCTTCTACGATAATATTGAAATTAATGTTTTTATGCGGCTGTGACATCGTTGAACGTTCTAAAATCTTGGGTAATGTTAAAACTTGAAAAACCAAGCTTTTTTCGCATTTCAATAACGCAAAACTAGCGCCAAATTTAGACGACGATATGTGTTCATGAAGGTATTGCCCAAGGCGCTTTGCGTCGGATATTACCGTCCAATTATCAACCACTCCAGTTTGGCTACCTAACAGACCAAGGTGAAGATCCTCACCTTTACAATGTCTCGAATCACAAAAAACATCAAAATTTCCTGTGTTGTTCAGCCGTTTTATGCGACATATTTCAATAGCCTTGCTAACGTCACACTTCAGCTCTTTGATGTCGCCAGGCCCGCCGTAATATTTTATACCTTCTTTACACTCTTCAGGTGTTTCAAATCTCAGACGGCATTTTTGCTCTTGTTGGTCTTCAGAGACTCTTGATGCAACATAAGGCTTTCTTAGACCAACAAATGAGCAGGTAGTGTTCCTTGGATAATCTCGACTGCGGGACGCGTATTCATCATCCATAATCATCGCTTCAAATCTATCAAAAGCAGGTGATATTCTTCGCGGCAAATGTCGCTCTTTCACTTTCTTGTGAGTAACATTACCACGCTCATGTTTTTGATGGAGAGGCATGAACTCACTTGCCAGAATATCTTGAAACCCAATTGGAAGCAGTGTACCTGTTAAAATATTAAAGTATATATGGGTTAAGTTCATTTGATTTACAATTATGTTTTTTGAAGCAATAATAAAACATTAAAATTCAGCGTGAGGGCCAGGGCCGTCCCAGGAAATTTTGGAGGAGAGGTCATCTGCTGATTAAGCCAGCTCGAATTTGCCCGCTGAAAATTATCATTTATATTACCCTAGCCCGCGTGCATGCATGCAGGCCCACAGAGGGAAGAATAGTGGACCTGCAAGGATGACCGGATATTTTGTACTTGTCGCGTTCACACACGAACGCAGCATTCTGATTGGCTGTTTGCTGTTGGATACTATAATTAAATCAGTGATCATCACAAAGGCCCTCGATAAGCTTAATGTTGGATTCGATCAGTTTTTTCGATTAAAAATGGAACAAGAACAGACTGTTTATTGTTTACTTGAAGGAAGGGATGTCGTTATGCCAATGTGGATTGCTTGTCGTGAAGTGTTGGAATAGCAACATTTACCACTCTTGTAAACTATAGTAACCTTTACTTTTTTAGATTTGACACTTTAACCTTTAACCTTCAACCTTTACTTCACAAGATTTGATACGTTTAATTTATATGTCCATCAAGAAAATTATCTTTTGGTTGATGTTGACTCAATAATAATATTTAATAAATATTATTAATAATAATTAAATAATTTTATTTTATTTTAAATTTTAATTGAGTTAAAACTGCGGTTTTCTCTTGCGGTAGTTTGCGGTTTCTATCGGTCAGCCTATATAAACTGAACCGCAACCGAGCTAGCCTTAACCAAACCACGACCGAACAGTACGGCCGCGTATTTTAGTTTTTTGGGGGCGCCGTATACATCCAAGTCACTATTATTCCAACACTACATTTTGCTATAGGCAGATGATACTAAATTACAGACATTAATAATTTAAAATATTTTAAATGTCCAATACTTACCCGACCTCATTCTTCTAAGGAACACTTGTTTTAGTATTTGATAGTTGAAAACAAGCAAATATAAGGCCAGAAAGATAGCCAAAGTTAATGTCTACAAAATCAAAACATAGGCATCATAAGCAACAAGAAGTGGTTCAGCGCGTCTCCTTTGATGGGGGCACTTGCGTTGCGCCGTCTTTATTCAAGCGACTTAATTTAAATTTGAATCCCAAATGAGAGTAATTTCAATACACGGACATGCAATAGTCAATAGCTTTTCTTATTTTTCACCCTGCTCGGTTTCCTTTGTTCTTATCGGGGAATATATTCAATATAATTCCCCTCTAATCAATTTCCTCGAATAATCCTCTAATATTCACCTGCAATGTCTTTGCAGCACAAAAAATGAGAAAAAAACAACATCACGAAGGCGGCAATTCTGACTCATTAACGCGACCTCACAATGTGAAAAATAAGTAAGTTATTTAGAGCCACCTCGGGGATATGTGTTTATTCAGGGGATATGTGTTTACTCAGTCCCTGTATATATAACTATTAAGAGTTTTATGGAATGAACACTTTGCAACGTTCAATTTCAAAGTCGTCGTAAAATTACATACTGGATGGTCCAGTATGTAGTTTTATGACGTTCTAGACTGGACGTCCATTTGCTAACATTTTCGACGTGTGCTATATTATATTGTTCAATATAACTATAATCAATAATATAAACAATTACAGCCGTATTTTGCTCGTGCGTGAATTTGTGGCTCGCGACCACTCTCATTTATTCCAGATCGTACATAATATGCCATTTATACATCATAGCTAGGACATAGTCTACTTACCCATCTTTTAAACTTCATTTTGACGATGGACGAATACTGTTTCGTTGTTTCTCTATTATTGACAGTATTGCTTGTGGTAAATTGAGATGAGCTACACAAAAGAACCTGCTAACAACACTGGCACGGCTGTGTCAGTTTCACAGCAGTGTGCTGATTTAGTTACCGTAGTCTTTCCAAAGGCGATTGTCTGTGCTAACTTTATGATGTTCAGGAGAGGAGATTAATTTTATAATGTTCAGGAGATTAGGTGCCTCTCTTAGAACTACGATCACTGTATTATAATACAGTCATTCCAACTGCAACTTGCATCTTATTAGGCTAATAAGCAAACTCCGTATATTAATAATATAGGAGTTAATAATAATATAGGATTGTCTTTGTGCGTTTGACTGATTTATGGTTCAGGCACAATTATTAGAGTTGATAAGAGTTTGAAATATATCAGGCTATATAAACCATGCAAAGCGAATTTTGTACAAACGACATTTCTACTTGAATTTAGTGCAGTCGTAGATGATCGGTTAAGCAAGTGATACAAATTATTATACACATTATCACTATAACATTGTTTGCGTTTCATACTTGACTGCATTCATGCATGGACGTAGCGAAGTATCAAGGGGGTCAGAGGATTTCATCTGAAATTTGAACTACAATGTTCAAAATTTACCTGAAGTGTAATAATTATAATGATAATGAAAAAATCTGAAAAATGTCAAAATTTATATGTGCGTATGGATTGGGATGATATCGATTTGGGGCAATTCTAATGTTGTAGTAGCGCATCGTGGTTTCCGGCTCTATACCGCGCGAAATCTTGTAAATAATTCGCATGTGAACGTTGTCGAATTTTATTTAGCAAGCTTAATTAAGTAATTGACAAATTCGAGTAATGAAGCAAAGTGACTCTTGTTGCCTTGTGAATTTTGTCTTGCAATTGTTTTATTTGATATATGAATATTTGAAAGAATATTCATATGTCAAAGATACACAGTCAAGGTTTAATAATTTTGTGCTGTCATATCTCTTGTCACAATATCTCTTCATCTTATCCTTTCTGGTCTCCTAGACGTTATTCGACCTTCTATTGGATGTTTCTACGCAAACTTGACTCGACTTCTCTCTCTCAAAATGTGGTCGAACAATTGCATATTCACATAGTGGCAGTAGAAGTCAAATCTGAACCTCCGGCTATATACTAATTATTAAAACCTGCATCTACAGGGTGTATAAAAAAAACTGAACCCTTTCAAATTCAAATTAGCTATAACGTATTGTAGTAATTTGACAGCTCTAATTGCTTTGAATTAATGGTTGGGTAAGAACACAAGGTCTTGTACTCATGGGACAAAACTCTTAAAAACTTTTAAATTTTCCAATTTTTATTTCTTTGAGTTTCGTCCCATGAGTACAAGACCTTGTGTTCTTACCCAAACATTAATTCAAAGCAATTAGAGCTGTCAAATTACTACAATACGTTATAGCTAATTTCAATTTGAAATTGTACACACTGTATAAATAATGTTGATTAAAGACAATACATTTCTAAAGGTTTAAATAATGCATGGCAACAATAGTGTCATTACAAACTTTGCATAGCATAACCTGTTGCTATGGCCTGGCTCGCCACTGACTACGTGACATTCGAGAAAGAGTATATTTTGTGAACTCTCAACCGCCATACATGGCAGTATGGAATGCACAAAGCGTAGCGTCCCAGTTTGTTAAGTAGTATTTAAAACACGAGAAGGAGTGTTTTATCGTGTTTAAAACGCGGGCTAGGCGCAGCCAAAGCGTTTTAGATATGATAAAACGCGAGTTCGAATGTTTTGAATAGCTTAAAAATACGACTACAAAAAAATACTAATTAGGATGAACAATTATATAATCATACTAATTAGGATGAACAATTATATAATGAATACTAATGAAGATGAGGTTTATCAGATATAAAGTCACTCCACGTGACATATTATGGCTGACATGATTTGCCACAAGGTTTATGAATTATCTTGAATAATTATCTTAATTTAATTATCTTGAATAATTTCAAATTTAGTAGGAGCGAGTAAAAACAGCATATACTGACCATGACCAGTTGCCACCACTATAGTCGCAGCCATCAAGTGTTACATTATATACCAATTAAGTGTCAAAGAAAAAAAAACACAACAATGAAACCAATATTAATAACTTACTGACTGAGAGTGAGGGCAGTATGGGGAAATATCCGATCAAGGTCTTGCTGTATTGACCGAGCGATAGCGAGGTCAATACACTAAGACCGAGGTTGGATATTTTCCCCGTACTGCCCGAACGGTTGAGGTCAGTAAGTTTTTTATTATATGACATTGAACGTTTGTAAAATATGGGAAGAGGTTACGCGAGGGCAAAGTACAAAGTCCGAAACATTAATTTTGAAAAAAAAAATTGTAAAAAATGTTCTCTTGGTTAGTAAAACTACTCTACAGCACTTTTTATACAGAATACTAACACAGTTTGGATAGAGTTGCAAGAAAAATACGAGGTATTTCGTCATTTAATCAAAGACAACAAATATGAAAACAATAAAATTAATAAACAGTATGGACAAGTACGTTTTTAGTTCGCTTCATCTCATATTTATGTCTCTTTTTATCTAACAAAAACAGAAATTTTCAGGGAAAAATCATAAATCTGTGGCTGTTTTAGTTGTATTTTTTATTTAGGATGGTGTCAATTTCCTCCTCACTCCTGGCTATCTGCAAATAAAATTTACAGCTCTTCACATAGTCAAAACACAACTATTCCTGACTGCTTTAATAGTTATAAGCATTGTAAATTTACCTTGTAATTTCGACTTTTGCGAACAAAAACGTGTTAAGAAAGTTTTTTTACCATAGCAGTTGCTCTTTTTCTTTATTTTAGGTTTATTTTTCTTAGTTTTGAATAGTTTGAAAGACATTTAGACACGTTTTGCCGTTTGAAACTCGGCTCTCGTCGCAGGGCAATAAAAATTGCGTATTGCTCGTGGGCAATACGGGAAAATCCTGCCTCGTCAGCAGCCATTCAGCAAATTGCGCGATTCGTCAAAACAAATGCTTGCCATATAATAAAACTCCATATTAACGTTTGCTCCACAACAAAACCATTTTTTTATTCACCAGTGAATAATATTAATGTATTTTTGATTGCTTAGAGTTGCTGCAGGAGAGTTACTGCAGTAGAATTTCATGACTTCCACGAGATACAATCGTGTAGTTGTCCAAAGACACTTGGTATAAACACCCCCTAAATATACCATGATAAGTTCTTAATAAATGATAACATTACCTGATAATCAAACCTAGCATTAATTAAACCTATGGTGGTTTGTTTGATGCTGTATGAAGAATGGAACCATTCGTGCTTTAAAGAATAATTTAGCCTCCATTGAATACAAAAATACCCAATTTCAAAATTAACAAGAATGACTTTACTTAAATTTCACAACAGCAGTAAATTGTTTCATCAATGATTTAATAATGGGTGTAACCACCACACTTCTCGAGAACTTCAAGGCATCATCTTCTCAGAAAGAGAATGATGTGATCATGGGAACTCGCGAGATCTCAACCCAGTTGAGATTTTTTGGGACCAGCAAAAGCGATCTGTCTATCATCGGTTCGAAGAATACAGCACTCTAGCTGCTCGGCTCAATTGTTGCAGGAGGAATGGGTGGCTATATGTCAACGTGGGTGAGCAGACGATGCCTTGAGGTGACCGAGAAGCGTGGTGGTTACACCCATTATTAAATCATTGATGAAACATTGTTACTGTCGTTGTGAAATTTAAATAAAGTCATTCTTGTTAATTTTGAAATTGAGTATTTTTGTGATTCAATTGAGGCCAAGTCATTCTTTAAAGCGTGAATGACCCAGTCTTCACACAGCACAAAGCAAACTGCCATAGGTCCAATTATTGCTAGGTTTGATTATCAGATAATCATTTATTCAGAATTTATGTTAGGATATATTTAGGGAGGAACTTTCTTTTTGTGTAGTGTTTATAATAATGTAAATCATATGAATACGACTCAAACATTATATCTATATTTATTTTCTGTTCACCTTAACCTCGTCCCCAGGGCATTTTGCCTCCATGGCTAAAGTTCTGCGAAAATAACCCTGGGACCGGCTGATCAGTTCTACAATCCCATTGGTCT